CTGGCAACGCCCCCCAAGCTGGAATTGGGTATCCTGCAGAGGTAGACGGCTACTTCCAGGTGTCCAGCCGGGGGGGCATATCCAGGCTGTACTGCTGGGAGTCACATGGGATGGGGGGGCTGCACACAACTGCACAAAAGGCGCCCCCCCATTTGATGTGGGGAGCGGTCATTATGTAACACAAGGCCCACTCATCAGCTATCTCTAGGGTCAGTACAGTGCATTTGCCACATATAAAGGTAAAGGAACCCCTGACTATTAGGTCCAGTCGCAGACGACTCTGGGGTTGCCTGCGCTCATCTCGTTTTATTGGCCGAGGAGCTGGTGTACAGCTTCCAGGTCATGTGGCCAGCATGACTAAGCCACTTCTGGAGAACCTGAGCAGCGCTTCCCGCTGGAGCGGTATCTATTTATCTACTTGCACTTTGACGTGCTTTAAAACTGCAAGGTTGACAGGAGCTGGGACTGAACAACGGGAGCTCACCCTGTCACAGGGATTCGAATCGCCGACCTTCTGATCGGCAAGTCCTAGGCTCTGGGGTTTAGACCACAGCGCCACCTGCGTCCCCACATTTGCCACATACTTGGGCCAAATAGGGTTGCCATACATCCAGAATTTCCAGAAAACTGTAGCTGCAAGCCGCAAGTCCGGGCTGAAATATTGCAGAAATATCTGGGAAATCCGGACGTATGGCAGCCCATATCGGCCCATATCACTGTTACCTACTCTGAAACGCTCAACAACTTTGGCAAAAAAAAGGTCAACAATTATTCTGTCCAGGGACAAACGTTTCTATAATGAAACCTTGCTCAATGTTTGTGCAAGACATTTGTCCAATTCCCTTTTAATTGCTCTGAGAGAACATAAAGGCCTTTTCACCAGTAGTATTTGCAAGGAATAAGGTCAAGAATGTCAAGTTCTTCCAGATTGTTCTGCTAGGCCTTTTGCCTAAAACTTGACATTAGAATCTCATTCTAATCTGACTCCCTTTCACCATAACCATTCTGCTGTGTTCCTCTGATAGATCCTGATTGACACCTATTTCCCCCCACCCCTCCCACAACTCACCTTGTCAATGAAAGAGGCCAATTTACTATTGAGGCTCTGCAGTTCATTCTTTGCTTGAAACTTCACCGCTAGGGCTGTGGTATCAATCTCCAGGTTCAGAGGTTGCAGCAGGGACTTGTTGCAAATCACAGGAGCGATGGTGCGTGATGTACCAGTCATGACGCTTCCAGTATCCATGAAGCTGCAGCTATATCCAGTGCCATGATAGCTATGCTCAGCAACAACACCACGACGGCCACTTCTGCTACTGGTGGAAAAGTTGGGTCCGTAAGTGCCAACACTCTTGCTGCTAAAGCCCCCTGCTCCTCCATAATATATCCCAATACCCAGTGGAGGGCACAGAGGTTGGCTCATAAGGCCCTGGCTTCCTTTGGTGGGCAGCACCTCAGAATAAGAGCTGTAATTTTTTGGATCAGATCCAGAACCACAGTGGGAAGACATTGCTGCCTGGAGGAGCTGGAGCAAAAGCAGATGAAAGGAATTGCAAAAGGTGCACTCCGGGGGGGAGGAGGAGAGGGGGAGAGGAGAGGCAAAGGCTTTGTGGGTTTAAGTAGGGCAAGTCGTCCTTTATATCCATTTTGGGAAGCTGGGTTTGGCTGCTTCGTTGTGGAGGAATAGCAATTTCTAGGCATTTATGAGCTGGGAATTTGGGCAATAGGCTTCTCATGTGATGGGCTTAATAACCAGGCGAAACCCTGGCAGCTCCCCTTCTGAGTGTGCCTCCTATAAAGCAGCCATGGATCTGTGTCACACAATATTAGGCCAGGGCCAAGGCAGAACCCCACTCCAGTTGCCCATCCTTCTAAAAGGAGGCGTTTTTGAACCTTTCCATGCAACCCAATTGCAAATCTGCAGGCTGGCTAACTAGCTCATTGTGAGTGAAGACATCCAGGGAGAAGGGCTCTTGAGTGCTAAACATTCATTAACCCCCCATGGAAGCTTTTGCAGAAATGTCATCACCACACCAGAAGCACATTCCTGAGTGTGGCGGACGCTTCGTGATGCTTGCTTAACCGGCTACACTACAGACTGATGACCATCACGATGCTCAAGCCAAGTGTCTAAGCCCTTGTGAGGGATAGTGAAGCGAGCAGATGCCATAATTAACCTTGTGGTTTTTGTTGCCATCCCAGCTTCATCTACCAATAAAAACTATGATTATAGGATCTGTTGCTGCCGCCCTTTTGAAGGCTTACTTAATCATTATTAGTAGCTTTGGGTTTCTCTGTCTCTGTCTCTCTCTCTTCTCTGGCTGCTCCACAACTAGCAGCTATATTATTGTTTTGTTTGGGGTATCTAGGGGTCTATAGTGAACTCAGACTTCTGGGACTTTGTCAAGCTCCTTCCTGATTTTTTAAAAAATATATTTATTGGCGTCTTCTGAGGGGATCAGCTAAGCCCACCAGTAAAGAGAGGAAAATGTCTGGGTCACAGCGGGTTGAATTTAACTAACTGCTACTCAAAGAAGTCCCACTGGAATTAATAAGCCAAAGTTGCTTGTGCTCCCCTATTTCATTTTCTGAAATGATATGTGAAGCAAAGCAAAGCAGTCCTTCAAAATTCACGCTTCTCTGAATTTTGTAATGCAGTTCTTCCTCCAAGAAGTCAGTGCTAAAATGTACAAGCAAATTCATATATTAGCAAAAAGAACATACAAAAAAATGTATTTGCATGTGTTAGGCAAAATTGCATAACAACTTGTATATTAGGAGAAATTTGCATACTGATGAATTTGCATGAAGACTTTTAATAATAATTATAATCAGTGCTTTTTTGTGGGGGGACGCAGGGGTAAGCGTACCCCTAAACATTTTGTGAATCTTTGTACTTTTGTCCATTTACTGTATTTATTTTTCCTGATCTGAACTATAAAATGGGGGTTTTCTTGAGTCAAAATGAGAGTACCCCTAAATGTTGTTTTGGTTTTTTTAGAAAAAAAAGCACTGGTAATAATAATTGCAAAATGATGTGGAAACGTGGAGAACTGAATTTGTGAGAAACTGAGAGAAACCAAAACCGACAGATTTGCCTACCAGTTGGCAGGAAAGACCCATAGTGGAGAAAGAGAGATGAAAGAGGGAAGAGGGCAACAGCACCACCAAAATTTATGGCCCAATTTGCTGTAGAACGGGAGACATTGCAATGATGGTTGGGCAATTTTAAGGAAAGAGGTCACATGCATGCAGTAAAGGTAAAGGAGACCCCTGACAATTTGGCCCAGTCATTCGTGACCGACTCTGGGGTTGCGGCGCTCATCTCACTTTATTGGCCGAGGGAGCCAGCGTACAGCTTCCGGTTCATGTGGCCAGCATGACTAAGCCGCTTCTGGCGAACCAGAGCAGCACACGGAAACACCGTTTACCTTCCCACATATTTATCTACTTGCACTTTGACATGTTTTTGAATTGCTAGGTTGGCAGGAGCAGGGACCGAGCAACGGGAGCTCACCCCATTGTGGGGATTCGAACCGCCGACCTTCTGATCAGCAAGTCCTAGGCTCTGTGGTTTAACCCACAGAGACACTTAGTCATAAGCATGCTTAAAAACGTTTTGCAAAAATAAAGGTTTAAAAAAGTATAAAAGGGTGGAAGAAAACACACACAGCATTACCGCCTTTTGTTATTTGGTAAATTTACAGGTCTAGTCATCAGCTGCTGCTGGACATGCAGAATAGTGTCCCTGCCTGCCACCCCCATTGGCTAATTCTCATTGAGCCAGTCCACTTTCCCCTTGTGCTCATAATTCAGGGAAGAGTATAAATGTACGTGAATTTATGTATTTATGGAAATCTATCTAAATCTATGCAAATTTTATCTGTGTTTATTGATGCATTTGGCTGTATTTGAATGTATTTGTATTCTGGAAAATATTTGAAGAAATGTGGAAGTTGAGATTTTCATTCATTGAGATGCTAGAGACTTTTCACTCATTCTGTAGGTATATCAGGAAATAATATTGTACAAGCTATTACATATTTTTATGTGCAAGTAGATAAATAGGGACCGCTTACCAGCGGGAAGGTAAACGGCGTTCCGTGTGCTGCGCTGGCTCGCCAGATGCAGCTTTGTCACGCTGGCCACGTGACCAGGAAGTGTCTGCGGACAGCGCTGGCTCCCGGCCTCTAGAGTGAGATGAGCGCACAACCCCAGAGTCTGTCAAGACTGGCCCGTACGGGCAGGGGTACCTTTACCTTTACCTTTACTTTACCATGTGTTATTGTTATTTTGAATTAGTCATACTCAGAATAGATCCATTGAAATATTGGTCTATTGATTTCAATAGGTCTATCCTGCGTATGACTTATTATTATTAGTAGTAATAATAATAATAATAGTCTTTTGATGGTTGGCACATCATTGTTTTATGTTTGCTTTTTATTTGCAAGCTGCATTGAGCACATGCTTTGTAGGAGGGAAATGTAGGGCGCGCACACACTTATATTTATTGCACTTTTCATTTCAACAGCTTTCAATGTTAGCTTTCCAACTTGTGTAGAAGACAGGGGGCTGCCCCCAAAGTTGATGGGCATTTTGGAGTGCATGTGCAGCATCTTGTGATCAATTACGCGAGGCGGGGCTGACTTGCCCCCTCCCAATATTTTATTCAAGTTGGCACCCCTGCCATTAACAATCTGAAAAACAAGAACCAGGGAGAGTGAAAAATACAGAATTGCTTTCTGGACAATGACTAGTAGCTGTGTATATTTTATAGGCTCAATAAGCCGCACTTTGCTTTTTTTAATTAAGCACAGCATTCCAAGCTCATAAATGCTGGAAACGTTCTGATCTCCCCATTATGAGACTGCCAAACCCAGTTCTCCAAAGAGATATAAAGGCCAAGCTCTTTTCAGAGTGGATCAGGCTGTTTCATGTGGGCCCTTCCTGCGATTTTTAACTCTCCTCGTTTTCGAACGCATTGAACTTCAGAAGCAATGTCTTCTCCATCGAGCCCTGGAAACGGACCCAGCAGCTTTACTTCCTGCTCAGCTGTCCTTCCGCCGATCGGGAGCAAAGACCGTACCAGCTCTCCCAGCCCTTCAAAGGGATCCAGCTCTGGGTTCAGGGCAGCTGGTTACTTTAGCAGCAGAAGTCTGGGTGGCATCAGCTCAAGAGGATCCAGAAATTCCAGCGGTGGCTACCACTCCGCTAGATATGGATATGGCCATCGGGGAGTCGGCTACTCTGGCACTGGATTCAGTCACAGTCCTTATGGCTCATATGGGCTTAGGCGACCCGTTGCCAGTGGAACTGGGACACCCTTCATCACTCCTGTGACTTGCAATGAGTCTCTGTTGCAACCTCTCAACCTGGAAATCAACTCTGCTGCCCAAGCAATGAAATGCCAGGAGAAGAACGAGCTCCAGTGCCTGAACAGCAAATTTGCCTGTTTCATTGACAAGGTGAGTTAAGAGGTCAGCATTCAATGCGATGCTTTGACCATGTGTCTTTAAAGCCTGCTGTTCAATCATTTACATGCCATTTGCCCCAAAGCCCCTAAATTACAACTGCATAAAAAAATACTGGAAAGCAAACTGAAATAGGAAAATATGAACTTGTGCAAGGAAATGACAGAGATGGGAGACTTTTGCGTACCAAAGACAGACGCCAGCTGCTTCTGATTCTCCTGTGAATGCAATGGCATCTTCAGGAGAGAACAGGCCCTTTCTCTGTCCCCCTCCCTTCCCAGTTGATACTAAACTGATCTGCATCTCTTGGACCAATGTGCAGATTGGAACTTTGTTGTCCACTGGCTTTGTTGTCCAAGTGTTCCGATCCAGTTTTCTATGCAAAAAAGGTTTGGATTACATTTAAAAAATGTGTATTTTGTAAGAAAATAATGTTTAGAGATGCATATTTGGAGAGAAAATGTTTTTTAAATACATATTTAAATGTGGGTTTTCATGTGGCTGTTGTGGGGCAGGGGGAGCACGTGGAAAGAGGGCAGGGCAGACTTCTGGTTGAACACATGGAAAAGTGTCACAAACCATGAAGGGACTGGTTTGCCCATCCTTACTCACTTTGAGAGCACATGGACAACAGTTGCTATTACGTAGAAGAAGTGGCCAGTGTGAGATTCTCTTATACATTTTTGGACTTCGCTCCTCTCCAAGGCAGTAATGCAGTTAGGTAATCTTAGACTCTGAACCTAATGGCTTTATGTCCTCTGCAACCCCTTTAGATGGCAACATGGAATACAGTGGTACCTCACAAGACGAATGCCTCGCAAGACGGAAAACTCGCAAGAAGAAAGAGTTTTCCATTTTTCGAGGTGCTTCGCCAGACGAATTTCCCTATGGGCTTGCTTCGCAAGAAGAAAGCCCATAGGGAAATCTCCGGGGACCTCTTTTAAAATGCTGGCGGTCGGGAGCAAAGACTTTCGCCCACCGCCGGCCTTCAGAAGAGGTCCTGGACCTCTTCTGAAGGCCGGCGGGGGGCAAAAGTCTTTGCTCCCCCCGCCTGCCTTCCCGGGACAGCGGAGACTTCTCCGCTGTCCCGGGCGATCTTAAAATGCTGGTGGGCGGCAGCGAAGCCCTCCTGTCCCCAGAGCTTGCGGGGCGGGAGGTGGGGAGAAGGGCTTTTCTTCCCACCGCCAGCCTTCAGAACAGCCTTCTGAAGGCTGGCGGTGGGAAGAAAAGCCCTTGTCCCCCCCCCCAGCCTTCAGAAGAGGTCGGGGGACAGACTGTCCCTGGACCAAACTTCTGAATGGAGGAAGAACTTGGCTTAGGCCTTGGGCATGTATCCCTCCCAGCCCCACAGCCAGGGGAACTGGGGCACATCAGGGTAAATGGGATATTGGGGTGCTCAGCGAGATGTAAGTGTAGCAGGCAGCCCAGCCCATATCCCCACACGCAGGGTAGTTCACTGACAACCTTTCAGGGTATGGCTAGTGACACCACTTTAAGAGGGGACCCTGGAATCGCCGCCGCAGGGGGGTGAGTCACCACTTCACACACACCATTATAGGGAAGAAAAGACTAAAGGATTCCACCCAAGGCCATAACGGCCAAAGTTGTGACAATTGCTATGGGGAAGATAAAACCTGCCAAAGCAGGAAAATTTCTTCACAGTTCTTCAACAGCAACCAGTCATAGACTGTAGCAGCATCTGCTAAACAAGAAGAAACAGTTTACCTGCAAACAAGAAAACATTAAACTAAGGGAGGGCAGGGAGGGTGAATCTCCTAAGCCGACTGCCTGGATACTGTCAGCTCTACCCACTTATATATATAGGACTGGCCCCACCTCCCAGCAATGAAACTTGACTACTGAGGCTGGGCTTGAAACTCCCAAAAATAACACTGAGAGGCAGGCCAGTCCCTGTTTGCCAGCAAGTTCCCTGGGAACTGTAGCACCGCATGAGACCCCACAAAGGGCACCCACAATGTAAAGTGTGAGTGTTCATTCTGCTGAGTGGGCCCTTTGGCCTGTGCCCTGAAGTCCTACTCTAGTGGCACCAGCTGCTCTCTTGCCCTCACTGGCAAGTTACTCAGTCATGTTCCAAACACATTTGGAAAGCTGGGGTTTTGAAAACAAAGAGGGATGGCTGCATAAGATTATGGGAGATGTACCCAGTTCACGCAGCAGCTGGTACTGATATCCAAATCAGCTGAATGGTCCACCCTCTGCAAGAGAAGCACCCTTTCAATGTGTTTCAATGGCCAGTTTCTGGGGTGTGTGGAAACAGATTACCCTAGGAATCAAATGCAGAAAGGAGAAAAGGGGATAAAATGGGAAGGGCCACAGGTTACTGGTTGAACATCTGCTTTGCATGCAGAAGACCCCAAATTTAATCCCCGGCATCCCCAGATAGGACTAGGAGTATCCCCTGCTTTAAACCCTGGAGAGTTAGTGGTGGTTAGTGAAACCAGGCATGGCCAAATTGGCCCTCCAGATGTTTTGGGACTACAACTCCCATCATCCCTAGCTAACAGGACCAGGGGTCAGGGATGATGGGAATTGTACAGTGGTACCTCTGGTTAAGAACTTAATTCATTCTAGAGGTCCATTCTTAATCTGAAATTGTTCTTAACCTGAAGCACCACTTTAGCTAATGGGGCCTCCTGCTGCTGCCATGCCGCTGCTGCACGATTTCTGTTCTCATCCTGAAGCAAAGTTCTTAACCTGAGGTACTACTTCTGGGTTAGCGGAGTCTGTAACCTGAAGCGCTTGTAACTCGAAGCGTTTGTAACCCGAGGTACCACTGTAGTCCCCAAACATCTGGAGGGCCAAGTTTGGCCATGCCTGGAGCAATGGACCAGTTGTCTGATTTAGCATAAGGCAGCTTCCCAAGTTCCTATAGCTTATTTGCAGAAGGTTTGGGAGTTTCCTTTTTCCTTTTTCTACTACATTCTGGTCTGTTTAGAGCTTATTGGATTTGTGGCTCTAGAAACCATGTGGTGTGGAATCAAGAATGACCTGTGCGCACCTGAAGCAACTTTTTCAGCATGCCAATGCCAACAGAAAAATCCAGATTAGAAATTGTCCAGAAGAACAAGTGGGGAGAGCAGTGTAGCACTCATAGCGTGTTTGTGGGCTTCTAAGAGGTCTCTGGTTAGCCACTATGGAAACAGGATGCTGAGCTGAATGGACTTTCATGCCGATCAAGCAGTGGTCAGATAATTGTATGTGGTTGAAGACAAAGGGGGAAGACAAAGTGTGAAAATCGCAGGTCATTGGCTCTGTATTTCTGTGTAGATAGAGAATGCTGAAGGATGCAGAGTAATCATGAGGGAGAAGGGAGAAATTGGAACTTTCTTTCTCTTTATTTTGCTGAGATCATTTTGCATATTGCTCTTTGATTTTTCTTTATTTTTTAGTTGCAGGACTGTTCACAGCATACAATAAAAACAGTTTCAAAAGAGCCAACAGTGGGTTCATTCAGTGGGACATATTGTGTTGCTTTACCTGATTATAATGCTAGTTCTTTGCTCAAGTTTGCTAATGTTCCTTTCACACTTCAGTGCCTGTTGCACTATGGCTCTGTGGTCTCTCCGCACCCCCTTACTTATATACCAGCATGTTGCATTAAATGTCACTCACACCAGTGACACACTACTCTCCCACAATTTCTGCACATGTGTGAATTTGTTTCCCCATGATCCTCGCCTGGAAACAGCTGTATGCTGGTAAAGGCAAAGGTAAAGGGACCCCTGAGCATTAGGTCCAGTCGTGGCCGACTCTGGGGTTGCGGCACTCATCTCGCTTTATTGGCCGAGGGAGCCAGCGTACAGCTTCCGGGTCATGTGGCCAGCATGACTAAGCCGCTTCTGGCGAACCAGAGCAGTGCACGGAAACACCATTTACCTTCCCGCTGGAGCGGTACCTATTTATCTACTTGCACTTTGACGTGTTTTCAAACTGCTAGGTTGGCAGGAGCAGGGACCGAGCAACGGGAGCTCACCCTGTCATGGGGATTCGAACCACCGACCTTCTGATCGACAAGTCCTAGGCTCTGTGGTTTAACCCACAGCGCCACCCGCGTCCCAAATGTATGCTGGTATACTGCCCCAAGTTTCACCACTTTCACAATTATTCAGGTTAAGGGGGCTGCATAGGGACCCCCCCCCCCGAATTATGTAATATAGAAATGACCCCTAAACATGAGTTATATTCCATTACCTCTCCAGAAGTAGCTTTTACATCATGTGAATGCTCAAGTATAATGTGGAAATTAACAGTTTGGGAAATGCCAGTGAATGGAATAAAACACTTCCGGCAGCAATTTAAAAACCTGCTGAAGCTCTTCTGGGGGGCACTTTTTGTTGCTGTTGTTGTTGAGAAAATTTGGGAGGGGGTGAATTGATTCTGGGAAGACATTGAAAGGAAATTAATGTTTTGGGGCTTGGGTTATCAGAACTTAATGTTTTGGGATTTGAATATTTTGATGGTTTAGTTTTGCAGAGGCTGGAAATTTGTGGTCTCGGCCAATTCACTTGTTCCCAAGTCTGACACATTTGCCTTCTGAAGCAGAAATGGCTGTGGGGATCAAGTGAGGCTTGGGAATAAGCCCCCATATCTGCTTTGCATTCAGTTTGTTGTCTTGGGCAAGTCACATCTAGTCCGGTATCCTCCCTGAACAGTGAATTTGTAAGATGCTTTTGAAAAACTTATTGCAAACACATGAATTCAGTAATCCATTGTTACAGCTATAAAAACTTTTTTTTATAAGAAAAATAATTATTAGATTTTCCAAAATTATAAGAAAAAACCACAAAGCAGAATGACACATAAAAACAGAAAAAAGAGAAAAATACATCAATGAACGAAAGAAGAAAAAAGGAACAATAAACAGATAAATAATAACAGCAAACTTAATTCTTTACAAATCCAACCTTTTAAACATCTTGGCTGACTTCCTCTAGTCCCTCCCTTCTGAGTTTCCTTGTAGTTAAAAGTAACAGATTTCCAATATCATTATTAAACTAAAACAATTTCCAGTTATAGTCCATCTTATTCACTTTTCTTTCAGCTATCAAAACTTATTTACATTGTTGAATTTATCTTAATGCCACCACCGTTTTTAAATGAACACAATTTTCACCCATATATTCAGTAAACATTTTCCAGTCTTCTTTAAACATACATTCTTCTTGTTCTCTTATTCTATATATTAAATCTACACTGCCCACTTTTTGAAAGGAGAGATGGGTGCTCTCTGTATTCTCCCATAATGCTTGGTCACGTACCCTATGCATTTGCAACAATACAACTTTACTTATTGTAAAGGCACAATAAGCCTCCAGTGTATTCTGTTCTGAGGAAACTAACCCTGTCAATGTTTATTTGAATTTTCCTTCTTTTCTTCCTTCCAGAGCACAAAATACTATTGCAGGGCACTAATGTTTACACTTATATTATACATGTAGCAGAATGTGCTTGGGAAAATCAGAGATAAGAAATAAAAATACAAAACAATTTTTTCCAGGATCAACTCCATTAGCATAGCACTTGCTGGCTGCAGGCAGGAGCTAATGGATAGGCGTTGTGAATTACAGTAGTTTCGCTCTATAGAGATGCACAACCATAAGACGCACCTAGTTTTGGAGGAGGAAAGCAAGAAAAATATTCTGAATCCCAGAAGCCAGAACAGCAAGAGTGGAGTTGCTGCGAAAGCTGTCTGGTTCCTGGGATAGCTTGCGCAGCCCGCATCGTTCCATAAAAGCACACCATTTTCCACTGATATGGGGGTATCAGTCCCAGTGAAATCCCTTTTCATGTGTTTTCCTCCTTGTGAATACATCCAAATCAGCTACATGGGAGAATGGCATGTCCGGGGTGGCCCTCTATGTCACATGGTACAAAAAAGAGTGAAAATAATGCTCTCTGATACCATAATCTAGGGGTGATGACATTTTTCAGCTCAAGGGCCACATTCCTTTCTGGGCAACCTTCTGGGGGGCCACCTGTTAGTGAAGGTTAGAGCAAAAGTAGGCAGAGCAAGGAATGGGAATTTTACTTTTGTGCCATAGCCTGGTTTATTCATATCTCACACGCCCCTCTCTATCCTCTGCCCAGGCAAGCAAGCAGCATTATCAGAGTTCGAGAACATATTCCAGCTAGGCAAAAACATTCAAGGGAAGTGCAAAGAAAGGCTGGTGTGGCTCAGAATTGGATGTGGCTTGGGGGATTGTCAAGGGGCAGATAGGGAACTCCAGAAAGGTCACATGTGGTCCACCCAGGACATGGGAATCCTCAACCCCAATCTATGCCCTTATAGACATTCTGTGTTGTATGGAGGCAGATCAGCAGAAGCATTTCTCTGCACATATATCTGCCTTCTCAACTGAAGTACATGTAGGACCTTCCTGTGTCTGTATCACAGTGCACATGGGGGACCAGTTCAAAGTGCATGGAGTTTGGATGGTTGAACGTTCCAGCCAAACATTTTTCTCCAGTTTAGTTTCTTACATTGTTGTTTAGTCATGTCCAACTCGTGTCCGACTCTTTGTGACCCCAGGGACCAGAGCACACCAGGCACTCCTGTCTTCCACTGCCTCCTGCAGTTTGGTCAAACTCATGCTGGTAGCTTTGAGAACACTGTCCAACCATCTCATCCTCTGTTGTCCCCTTCTCCTTGAGCCCTCCATCTTTCCCAACATCAGGGTCTTTTCCAGGGAGTCTTCTCTTCTCATGAGGTGGCCAAAGTATTGGAGCCTCAGCTTCAGGATCTGTCCTTCCAGTGAGCACTCAGGGCTGATTTCCTTCAGAATGGATAGGTTTGATCTTCTTGCAGTCCATGGGACTCTCAAGAGTCTCCTCCAGCACCATAATTCAAAAGCATCCATTCTTTGGTGATCAGCCTTCTTTATGGTCCAGCTCTCATTTCCATACATCACTACTGGGAAAACCATAGCTTTGACTATACAGACCTTTGTTGGCAAGGTGATGTCTGTGCTTTTTGAGAAGCTGTCTAGTTTCTTACATAGCATGTGAATAAATAACACGATCAACCAATACATCACCCTTTTTAAAAATAAAAATAAAAAATGGTCTCCCTTAAGCTGCTTTTGCTCTCCATTCAGGTCCGGTTCCTGGAGCAGCACAACCTGATGCTGAAGACCAAGTGGGACTTCTTGAAGGAGAAGAAGCGCCAGAAAAGCCACATGGAGCCCCTGTTTAGCGAATACATCAGTAGGCTGAGGAAGGAGCTGGAGTGCTTGGAATGGGAGAGGAATCAGCTGAAGGTCGAAATGAACAATTGGAGAGAAAGCATGGAAGGGAACAAGAAGAGGTGAACTCCAGGGCTGGGTTCAGCATTTTTCTTCTAAGTGGCCTGGTCTGAGGTGGGTCGCAACAGCAGCATGGCTGAATAACAGGGTTATTCTCTGCAGGTTATTCTCTGCATTAGGCCCACCATGTTTTCCTAAATGAATTGGAAAATCTGGGTTCAAGGTAGATTGTTAAAGGTGCTGGGAACTGTAGCTCTGTGACGGTTGAACTACAGCTCCAAGGATTTTTTGTGGGAAGCCGTGTGGTGTGAGTTGCACTGCTTGGCAGCAGGTGGCCATTGGCTCAATGCTCTCAATGCTCACATTGAGAACTCTTCAACTTTTTCAGACCTGGCACCCACCTTTAACCCAATCATGCACTGGGTGCTGAAAAGGTAAAGGACCCCTGACAGTTAAGTCCAGTAGCAGACTCTGGGGTTCCCGTGCTCATCTCACTTTACAGGCCGGGGGAGCCAGCGTTTGTCCTCAGACAGTTTTTCCGGGTCATGTGGCCAGCATGACTAAGCCGCATCTGGCGCAATGGAACACCGAAACCAGAGTAACGCATGGAAACGCCGTTTACCTTCCCACTGGAGTGGTACCTATTTATCTACTTGCACTTTTTGGTGTGCTTTCAAACCGCTAGATTGAAAGGAGCAGGGACCGAGCAACGGGAGCTCATCCCATTATGTGGATTTGAACCACTGACCTTCTGATTGGCAAGCCCCAGAAGCTCAGTGGTTTAGACCACAGTGCCACCTGCTTCCCCGATGCACTGGGTGACCCAGTGCCAATAGATATTTGTATGGTGGCTGTGCTGCTGTTGTGATCCACATCAGACCAGGCCACATGGGTCATGATGACCAATGGCCCAAACTCCTGTCATTCATTCATTCATTCATTCATTCATTCATTCATTTCCCACTTTCCCCCAACTGGCTACATGGGCATATGCAACTGGCTATATTTTCTATATGCTGGGACCTTTGCATGAGGGGGGCACCTTGAGTCATGTGAGCCATGGAGCCTGTGCCTGGAATATGAACAACATGGGCCTGCCCAATACATTTTGCTGCCCGATTGCAAAGGAATGATGGTGGCTTCCTGACACCACTACCATTCTGTATACACAAACCAGCCAGACAGGCAGTTGAATCTTATTCCAACATTGGTGATGGGACAGCTGGCTAGCTTAGACAGCGCAGGGCAGATCACACAAAACTCACTGCTCTGTCTTCCAACAACTTGTTGCCACTCCTTGACATTGCCACCACTCTGCCTAATGTTAGAGCCAGCTTTGATTAGGAAGTGGTCCAGCCTACCCATAAGTGGACTATTTCAATGAGACCCCAAGCCTTAACAAGTCACTATACGGCTAGTCATTTGAGGACATAATGACCTTCTATTTAGAAAGGCCTTCCTTTCTTTGTGGTTCAACACGGTGATATTAATTATTAGTCACTAACGCACAAAGTCTGTCTTTATAACCTCCCCAGGTTTGAGGAAGAATGCAGTCGAAGGACCTGTGCTGAAAACGAATATGTTGCACTTAAAAAGGCAAGTGATGGGCCATATTTCTGCTAAAGAAGAGAATTGTTGGTGGTTTGTTGGTATGGTATCAGAATGGATCAGATGTAGAGAAGAAGTATCGCAAGAATATGATCATTTTGTTCTGGAGAACCAATGCACTGTAGTGACTTGACCAAAGGAGGTTAATCTGTGGCCTTCCATGTGACGAGGGACTACAATTTCCATCATCTTTCCCCATTGCTCATGCTGCCTGGGGCTGATGGTAGCTGGAGTCCAGCAACATCTGAAAGGCCTCAGGTTCTCCTTCCCTGGTCTAGGTGAAGACTCAAAAGACCTGGCTTGAAGCACTTCAAGCAGATCAGTATTTATTTATGTTTTATTGATTTTTAACAATGTCTTCATGGATGCTTTTGATGATTTTATTATAGCTTTGCATATTGTATACCAGCTAGATAAACCTTTTATGAAAGTGCAAATTATTCATAAATGTCCTGAACGCAACCAGAACAATGAGGGTAAGCAACTGGATTTTTAATTATTTATTGACTGTAACCGAGTGCAAGTGATGTACAACAATACTCCTCACTAACTAGCTGTCTAGGCAACCCAGATAGTAGGAGCTGTGATGAAACTTTGCTTCAGCACTGTACCTTTTTGTCTTCTCCTAGGAAGTGGATTGTGTCTTCATGGACAAATCACAGAAAGAAGCCAAGGTGGAAACTTTAACGCAAGACATCTGCTTTTACAGAAATACATTTGAAGAGGTAACAAGGAATGTTTATATTTGATCATGCTGCCTAGTTGTCATCACGAAATGGTTCCCATGGTCCCGTCTGGAAGGTCAGAGGCTCCCCTCCCCTCTTATTTAAGATGAAGGCTGTCATCCTAAGAGCCCCTGAAATAAGTGGAAATAAATGTACCTTTCTTGACTTGTACAGCTCAACTGATATGTACACAGGGTCATTGTCACACCTGAATGTGTGCCTCAACTATTTGTGTACACAGGCACTCAGATTGTATACTAGTTGAATATTATGTGTGAACACCACTTTATGTAGACATAAACATGTTTAAGGTCTAGGTACAACCATACTGGAGTACTGGGTCCAGTTCTGGGCACCACAGTTCAAGAAGGACACTGACAAACTGGAACATGTCCAGAGGAGGGCAACCAAAATGGTCAAAGGCCTGGAAACGATGCCTTATGAGGAACGGCTAAGGGAGCTGGGCATGTTTAGCCTGGAGAAGAGGAGGTTAAGGGGTGAAATGATAGCCATGTTCAAATATACAAAAGGATGTCATATAGAGGAGGGAGAAAGGTTGTTTTCTGCTGCTCCAGAGAAGCGGACACGGAGCAATGGATCCAAACTACAAGAAAGAAGATTCCACCTAAACATTAGGAAGAACTTCCTGACAGTAAGAGCTGTTCGACAGTGGAATTTGCTGCCAAGGAGTGTGGTGGAGTCTCCTTCTTTGGAGGTCTTTAAGCAGAGGCTTGACAACCATATGTCAGGAGTGCTCTGATGGTGTTTCCTGCTTGGCAGGGGGTTGGACTCGATGGCCCTTGTGGTCTATTCCAACTCTATGATTCTATGATCCTTTTTTTAGACTTAAAAAAACTTATCCCAAGTAAAACAGTTTACTATCCAACTCAGAATTGTGACATTAAAAAGGGAAATTCAACAGCCACAGGCTGAATGTGTTCTGTGTAATTCATAGGAAATATGTGAGTTGCAGTCATGCATCTCAGACACTTGTGTCACAGTGAAAATGGACAACAGCCGAGGCCTGGATGTGGGCTGCATCATTGAAGAGTTCCACCGTCGGTACGAAGACATTGCCTCCCGGAGTCGAGCCGAGGCTGAGGCTTGGTGCCAGTGCCAGGTTCATTGATCTGTCTTCTTGAACATCTCCGTTATATGTTTGTGTGTGTGTGTGTGTGTGTGTGTGTGTGTGTTTGTGTGTACCCCATACTAGCCATTACAACAAGGTAAAGGTAAAGGGACCCCTGACCATTAGGTCCAGTCGTGGCTGAGTCTGGGGCTGCAGTGCTCATCTCGCTTTATTGGCCGAGGGAGCCGGCGTACAGCTTCCGGGTCATGTCATGTGGCCAGCATGACTAAGCTACTTCTGGTGAACCAGAGCAGCACACGGAAATGCCGTTTACCTTCCCGCCGGAGCGGTACCTATTTATCTACTTGCACTTTGACGTGCTTTCGAACTGCTAGGTTGGCAGGAGCAGAGACCGAGCAACGGGAGCTCACGGGGATTCGAACCACTGACCTTCTGATCAGCAAGTCCTAGGCTCTGTGGTTTAACCCACAGCGCCACCCGTGTCCCATTACGACTATGCTCCACCTAAATAGCTGGAGACAGCAATGCGTCTCAATACCAGTTGCTGGAATACACAGGCGAGGGAGAGTACTCATGTGATCAAATCCTGCTTGTTGGTTTCCCAGAGGCTTCTGGTTAGCCACTGTGATGACAGGAGGATGCTGGAATAGATGGACCAGCTCCTCCTCCTCCTCCTGGTTGTTTGTTGCATTTACAGTATATCCCTCCCTTTTCTTCAAGGTCTTCCCCACAATAACCGTGAGGTAGGTTAGGCAGCGAGTCAGTGACTGGCCCAAGGTCACCCAATGAGCTTCATAGTTGAGTGGAGATTTGAACCCTGGCCACCCAGGTCCCAGTCTGACACTTTAACCACTACACCACATTGGTGTATTAGTCACCTAGTGACAATAGTTTTCTAGGTGACACACATAATAAGGCTGGAATCACCTGATATGCATTCCATGGGATGACCACCTAAAACAGCTCCCCTGTGTCAGCTTCTCCTCGTTGGCTCCATAACGCAGGCCAGCCTTCCTCAGCCTGGTGCCCTTCAGATATTGTTGGACTCCAACTCATTTCAGCCATAGCTATGTGGTCAATGGTCAGGGATGATGGGAGCTGTAGTCACAACAACAGCTACAGGGCCTCAGGTTGGAGGAAGCTGGGTGAAGAGCAGCCTTTCTCAATCTTTGGGTTCCCAGATGTTGCTGAACTACAACTCCCATCACCCCCAGCTAGCAAGGCCAGAGCTCAGGGATGATGGGAGTTGTAGGCCAACAACATCTGGGGACCCACAGGTTGAGAACCGCTGCTGTAGAGGAACACTTGCCTGTGATAGGTAGCATCTATAGCTCATTGAGAGAGTATGTGTTTGGCAAGCAGGTTCAACTTATCCATATGGGTTTCAGATGTATTGGTATTTTGCTCAGCCACATCAATTCTCTCCTTGCAGTACCAGGAGCTGAGGACAACGGCTGCCAAACACTGTGACAATCTACGCAATGTCAAGGATGAACTTGGTGAGCTGACTCGGATGGTTCACCGACTGCAGGCTGAAATCTCAAATGTCAAATCCCAGGTGAGAATGACCAGTGGAGCTTGGCTGCAACAAGAACACCACTATTGTTGAGGAGTGTCATAACGGTGATGGAGCTAATATTAACAGTTCTTGTGGCTGATTAACACATTGTCATCTTAAGAAGGGGATATGTTATTCAAGACCCATTCTGCCTGTGTTGGAAGATGAGATAAGGTTTGTTTCATTATGTGCAATCCTTAGTGAGTTGGATGTGTGCTCCAAAACATCCAGATGAGAACTATCTTGTTCCCTTTGATGTCCATTGGGTGGTAACTAACACATCCCCTAAGTGCAAGGAGTTCCACTCTGCAATGGAACTTCACCCTCTTCCCTCCTCCTTTGCCTCCTGAATCTGTGCCACTGGACCTGAGTGTACAGGGGTGCAAGCCTGGGGAACAGCCACTCACAAGCTGTTCAAGAACTTTTCTCATGCCACCACCCATCTGATAGTCATGTGAAAACCAAAGGAGAATGGAGATTCATCTTAGACTGTTCATGCTACAGAACTTTGTTCTCGTGTGCTCTTTTCTTTGTCTCTCGCCTTCCCTCTGTGTTTTCTGTGCCGACAGCGCTGCAAACTGGAAGAGGAGGTAGCTGGAGCTGAGGAACGTGGGGAGATGGCGGTGAAGGATGCTAAATGCAAACTGGCAGGTCTGGAGGAGGCCCTGCACAAGGCCAAGCAGGACATGGCTTGCCAGCTACGGGAGTATCAGGCCCTGATGAACCTCAAGTTGGCCCTGGATATTGAGATTGCCACCTACAGGAAACTCCTGGAAGGAGAGGAGTTCAGGTGAGACTCTTCTGGACCCATTTGAAAGTCTATTTTAGAAAAGCTCCCCCAGAAAAGCAAATGTCAAAGTTTCACTGCAATATTAAGTGTGTACATTTGTTGATTTGTATAATACAAATCAACCTATGGCATGCACAGATATGCAAACTGTACAGTTGTTGAATGTAACACGTGAATACCCTTATTGTGTTGTTTCTGAATTAATCTGCATAAAAAAGATCCGCACAGGAAATCTCCAGACGGATACATATTTGTAAACATGTTTTCTTTGCAAACATACATTCCTGTACAACTTTATTTCAAAATGCAGATTTCTAAATATATTTTATTTCAAACTATACTTTTAAAAATGCACCTTGATGTGTGTGTGTGTTTTGTGGAGCTGGGAACTGTATCACAAATAGGGATGAAGGTTATTTTTGTTTGGTCCACATTTTTAAGTGAACTGACTTAATTCACATCTCCCAGACTAATACTTGGCTTGAGATGTAATTAGTCTTCAGATCTCACACTTCTCCAAATTCTGTGATACAGTTTTCAGCTCAAAAACCAGGAGCTGTAGCACGGCAACATCTGGAGAGTCACAGGTTCCCCACCCCTGCCATATACCGGATTTTTCGCTCTATAAGACGCACCAGACCACAAGACGCACCTAGTTTTTGGAGGAGGAAAACAAGATAAAAAGTATTCTGAATCTCAGAAGCCAGAACAGCAAGAGGGATCGCTGCGCAGTGAAAGCAGCAATCCCTCTTGCTCTTCTGGCTTCTGGGATAGCTGTGCAGCCTGCATTCGCTCCATAAGACGCACACACATTTCCCCTTACTTTTTAGGAGGGAAAAAGTGAGTCTTATAAAGCAACAAATACGGTACTTATGGTGTGGGGCAAGGGAGATTCCAATCCTTGCAGGCAGCTATCAGAAGGCAATGAGAGTGTTAGTCATGCAGTGCACATATAAAGGTCCATAAGCAAATCAGTAATGATTCAAAATTCACTGGAAGACAGCTTGTTCTCCATCATTTATCCTCCTTTGCCATATGCAGCCGCAACAGAGAACCTGTTCTGTAGGCCACGCTTTCAGTCTACCTAAGATGGTAGCAACACACACACAAACACCTGGAATGTACACCTGGAATATGCCACAGAATCCCCAGAATCCTTTGCAATGTACAGACGTTCCATAGCGTAGATGCAGAGTTTCCTTGACATTTATTCATGTGCAAACTGCTTCCTAAAAAGTATAGAAGCAAACACAACAAAGTATATATGTTCTGCATGCATTTTTCCTATGCACAAGTGATCAGAATAAAGGAGGGAAGAATGAATGTAAAGTGACCTTGTGCCAAGCCAGATTCTCATTTTTATTTTTCTTGCATGCTTAAAAAACAACAATTCAATACAGGCGGATTTAAACTCACCAATTCTACAAGCTAGAAGATTTTCTGTTAAAGGTGCCCCCAGGTGGTGACAGGTAGCATTCACAACATGAAGGACCTGGCTAGTTTGACTTTTCCCAGGCTTTTCCCCACCTGCAATTGGGTGGTGACTTTCTCATTGAGCTCCCATTGCTCTGTCCCTGCTCCTGCCAACCTAGCAGTTCAAAAGCACACCAGTGCAAGTAGATAAATAGGTACTGCTGCGGCGGGAAGGTAAACGGCGTTTCCGTGCACTCTGGTTTCCATCACTGTGTTCTGTTGCACCAGAAGTGGTTAAGTCACGCTGGCCACATGACCCGGAAAGCTGTCTGTGGACAAACGCAGACTCCCTCGGCCTGAAAGCGAGATGAGCGCCGCAACCCCATACCGTCATACCTCAGGTTGAAGTAGCTCCAGGTTAAGTATTTTCGGGTTGCGCTCTGCGGCGACCCAGAAGTAATGGAGCATGTTACTTCTGGGTTTCGCCACTCGCACATGCGCAGATGCTCAGAATGACATCACGCGCATGCACGGAAGCAGCGAATCATGACCTGCGCACGCGCAGACGCGCAGTCGACAGTTACACTCTACTCAGCATGCGAACAGGGCTCCGGAACGGATCCTGTTTGCATCCAGAGGTACCACTGTAGTCACCTTTGACTGGACATAACTGTCCAGTGATCCTTTACCTTTTCTCATTGAGAATTTACTGCTGTGGGTGCTGTTTAATGCTGGCCTTTGCCAAGTCGTTTTTTCTGTATGTTGTCCCCCTATCTGGGTAGTTTGGATTGCTTCTTTAAAGGGCCATACCAGACAGACAGACAGTCAGTCAGTTAGACAGACAGACAGATGGATAGATAGGTAGACAGACAGATGGATAGATAGACAGACACACAGATATATATATATATGTGCACATATACATGCACAACCTATTTCTAGCTATGAAATTGTTGGTGATTTAGGCCTAATATTCAGCTAATGAGATATTTCAATCTATTTAATTCCTTGTAGGATGGGCGATGGAGAATGTGCTGTGAACATCTGTAAGTACCTCCAAGAGATGCCTCCAGAAATGCCATTGCTAATTTATTCATTTCTTTCTGTTTTGGGTGGACCCTTTCTATATATCTCACCCTGTGGTCCCTTCCTCCCCTTTCCTCCCCAGCTGTGCAGAGGAGCCAGGGCGCCGTCGTGTGCAATCCTGACCACCACTGTGGACCCGGAAGGTGTGGGCACATCATGACAAATGGAAGAGATTCCTGCAGCCCAGCAGGTTTCAAAAGAGGCATGGCTCCCTGTGGAGATGCGGGTTCTCCCATGTGGAGACAGCCATACCCCTCCTCCCGAAGGATTTAGCAACCCAGAGTGTCAAGAGCTCCAACGTTAAACATGTAGCAGCGGCTTCTCCTTGCGCATCAAGAGGTTAAATCTAGACTTTGGGTTTCTGCATGCCTGAAGTTGTTGATTCAGCATTTGTACACCTTGACTCAGCAATTCTTGTACTTTTCAGGACAATCCTTGGGGACAGGTCCATCCACCTTTATTGGCTCCCTAATCTTATGTCACTTTCAATTCACAGTGAATTCTGAGTATCAACCAACTTCTGCATAACCAGGATAAAGACTGTTGCTATTTTTGTGGTCCCTTATTCTAAGATCAAACGGAGGTAAGGCAGGAGCCCCCAGGGGCTTTCCTCCAGCTCCAGTTAAACCCCTTGATCACCCAAAACACTGATTTTAAGAGGATGTTGTCATTTCAGGGTAACTGATTACGAAAGCAAGTTCCAACGCCTACAGTGAAAGGGAAGGGTTATTTCATTTGGTAATGCTGTGTATTCTGATGATAAAAAAATAAGTACATAGCTTCCTGCTGAAAATATTGTGTTAAAGGTCTATTTCTTACCTGCAAATACCCAGACTTTTGCACCCTTTCTTGCTTCTCTCCTTTTGTTTTGTCCTGGGAAATGGCTTCTTTATACAAACTTTGGGTGCTTCCAGACAGGGTCTTAATACTGTAAATGATCATATATATGTATCTCAAATGGGTCATATGTTAGATTTTTTTTAAAAAAAAACTTGCTGTATTTTCCCTGGAAGGGAGGTGGGGATATTGACTGATATTTTGATTCCAGCAATGTCTTGTTGATGCTACAAAACATTTTATGGCCCTTCCTTATTGCATGTCCAGCAGTAGTTAAATACATACTGCACCTGCAGTTTGATGCCATGGTTAATAGCCAGAGACATCTATCTTCTAAGAATTTCTCTTGGGCTGCAGTCCTGTACACATTTACCTTGGCAGGGACTGGGAGTAAGCCTCAATGAATTCAGTGGGGCTTGATTCTGAGTAGACATGCACAGAATTGCATTGCCAGCCCTTTTTAAATGCCCAATCTAGGCACTGGTTTGCACAAAGCTGTGTCTTCATGCAAGCCAAGAATGTATAACCAAAACCGGTTTGCAAAAGAAGACAAAGTGCTTTCTGTGAATTATAGAGGTGAAGGTATTTAGACAGCCTAAATGAGACTGAATACACCAGTCTTTGGTGAATGAGGAAGGGAGTCGGGTTGCTTTTCAGCTGCTTGTGTATCTGCCAAATTATATCTCAGTGACAGAGCTTTAGCACTGCATGACTGCTGGCAGAGAATAGCCCAACAAGAAAGTGGAAACTGTTTCAGGTTTGGGCATGCCTTTTACCGTCTGGTGGGTTGCTTTTTAAAAATGTGAACCTCTGCTTTTGTGTGTGTGCATGTGAACTTCTATTTTAAATAAATCAATTCAGCTAAGCAATGACTCCAGTCTGACTAGCTTTAACCATACAGCAAAGAATGAATGCTATGGTTGAGCTACATTATGGGTAGCATTTTTCAGTTTTAAGACTGTTTGATAATCTACAGGCAGCTGGTTCCCATATGCACTTCTGTTATTTGATTGAATGATTACTTGCAAAAACACCATCTTAATGCAGGCATAGGCAAACTCAGCCCTTCAGGTGTTTTGGGACTACAACTCCCATCATCCCTAGCTAACAGGACCAGTGGTCGGGGATGATGGGAGTTGTAGTCCCAAAACATCTGGAGGGCCAGGTTTACCCATGCCTGCCTTAATGACATTGCTTTCTAGTGGACTTAGTTTATGGGTCCACTGCCAAGCATCATGCTCGGTAATTCCAAGATGCACACATGCTTATATTATCCAAGCTTGTGATGACCCTGGTCTACTCTCTCCACCCTGTGTCCATTCCAATGTGGTACAGTGGTACCTCGGTTAAGTACTTAATTCGTTCCGGAGGTCCATTCTTAACCTGAAACTGTTCTTAACCTGAAGCACCACTTTAGTTAATGGGGCCTCCTGCTGCTGCCGCGCCACCGGAGCACAATTTCTGTTCTCATCCTGAAGCAAAGTTCTTAACCTGAAGCACTATTTCTGGGTTAGCGGAGTCTGTAACCTGAAGTGTATGTAACCTGAAGTGTATGTAACCCGAGGTACCACTGTACCTTGGTTCCCAAATGGCTTGGCTCCGAAACAAATCAGGCTCCTGAACTCAGCAAACCCAGAAGTAAGTGTTCTGGTTTGCGAATGTGCAACGCGGCTTCCACCTGAGTGCTGGAAGCTCCTGCAGCCAATCGGAAGCCACACCTTGGTTTTCAAACAGTTCTGAGAGTTGAACAGACTCCCGGAACAGATTAAGTTTGAGAACCAAGATTCCACTGTATATGAAAAGAAGATTCATGCTAGCTGGACAAATGATGCAATTCCTTCAAAGGCTAGTATAGTCATGTGATTTCTGCATTCACTCTGATGCACAGCTCCTTCCCTCTAGGATCAGGGTTGGGGAATCCTGTGGCTTTTCAGATAATGCTAGACTCCAGATGACATCAGCCACAGCTAGCATGGCCAATGGTGAGGGGTGATGGGAGTTGTAGTCCAACAATATCTGGAACGCCATATATCTGGAATGCAAACTGTACCTTTGGATTGGCTATTCTCATTGAATACTCCTCATTCAATGAATGGGTTCCCTCCATCATCTGTGTCCTCTCTTTGTGCCATCCACCACACCACACTCTGGTGAGGGAAACAGCTTGGCACTGATATTGAGAAGGGTGTGTTTTCTGAACTGTAGGGTCATCAAGATGGGAAGGCTTTCCAACCATTCAAATGCTATCCTATACATAGCTGCAGGGCCACCCAGGAGGTAACGAGAGGTGACCACCTCAGGTGGCCGGATCCATAGCGGCAGCAGGTCCTGATGCAGATCTGCATTCTCCTCTTGTTCCTGATGTAGATCTTCACTTACCCTTTCTTCTTTGAGGGAGGGAGGGTGCCATTTTGTGGTTCGTCCTAGGTGCCAAAATGTTTTGGGCTAGCCCTGCATAGCTGAAACTTATCCCACAGCCTACAGCTATGTACATAATGTAAAATATTAGGTTGGTTTACTCAGCAAGTGGACAACATGTCATTCCAACTAGGGTAGCTTTAGTTACCACCTCTTCAGATGGCCCATCCCCACAATGGAATCACTACTACTTTAAAACTAGCCCCCCAACATGACCCAGTTTCCATGTGTAACAACAGAAGAACTAATCAAACTTCCTCTCTATCTTCCTGAGGCAATCCTGAACAACCTTGGGTTGGGGAAAAGAATATTAGTTTTTCCTCTCCCTGCCATGGTCCTGATAAAAATCACATTTCAGAAGCTCTTTTCTGTATATCAAGGGAAGCTCCTATTGGTCTCAAAGGAGGGAATGTTCCTTGGAATGCAAACTGTACCTTTGGATTGGCTATTCTTGTCAGAACTGTAGAGGGGAGAAAGTTAACTCTTCCCCTTCTCCATCCCCACCAACCATAGTCTCAAGACTGTTCAGACTTTCCCAAGGTTGCTTGCTGTTTACGTAACAAAAAGTGAGCTCCTTATTTGCATTCACACACTTAATGTCACAGGCAAACACAGGGATGAATTCATGCAATCTCACATGCATGTCCTAAGCACTAGGTCCAGCTTTTACATGAGTAATAGCAATCTGGAGTGCAGATATGAACCATCTCAGCACAGAGCAAAGGTAGCAGATGGGTATTGCTAATATGGTGCTCTTCAGTTGTTTGTGTGACTCCTGTCAGCCCCAGACAGCCTGGCCAATGGTCAAGGATGATGGGAGATGGAGACTGACAACCTCTGAAGTGTTCCATGTGCACTACATTAGGCCATGCCTAATGTGATGCCAGCAGCAGCCATATGTACCTTACATTTGGGGGAATTTGCAAGTGAAACAGCTGGAATCCCAACCAGCATGGCCAAAGGATTATTCTTCAGAAACATCTGGAGGACCAGATGTTCCCATCCCTGATCCAAAGAGGTGGGGTGGGGAGCTTATATACTCCTCCCTAATAACCATTATATATTTCGAGTACACACACACACAATCAACAGAAGCCCAACTCTGATTGTACGGGCACCTTTTGGACTGCCCTGAGAAATAAATGATAGGCTGTATAGATTTTTATGGTGAATGTGTCATATCACAATTGCACTTCAATGGGAGAAGTTAATGTCTTGAAATTGTGCAAGTATCATTGCAAAACATTAAGTAGGGCAGTATCATTTGCAACATCAACACCTCTAGCCATCATTAGAAACTTGCTTGCTAGCCCAGCAGTACTAAATTTCTGTGATGTGTGAAGCATTCAGAGAAGCGCAGCTTCACAATACTGTCCTCCAAGATGGAGAAAAAACAATGGAAACTAAGAGGGTTTGCTCAAGATCACATGCATTAATAGTTAGGAGAGAGGTGCTACTATTATGCTTATGACTACATGAAAAATATAGGCACACAAGAGCCCTATAAATTTTGCTGATGTTTAGGGATGGGAGACAGATTTGATTTTGTTTGCATTCTGATGAAAAACTACCCAATTCATGCTTCTTGAACCAATACATGAACCGAAACACAGCTACCCATCAAAATGCACACTTCTCTGAGTTTTGCAAAGCAGTTCTCCAATGAAACAATGTGCATATATGTTAAGGAAAAGTGCACACAAACATTGATGTAATTAGTGAAAATAGCATACAAAAATGCATTGCATTAGGGAAATTGCTTGCAAGTACGTGGATTAGGAGAAATGCGCTCTAGAGTGATGCCAATTTTTCACAAGGATTAAAATAAATAAATCCAAAGATTACTGTGGAAACAGAGAGAAGCAGAGAGAATTGAAGATGGAAAAAGGGAGATCCATCTCTCTCTAATAATGTTTCTTCCTTTTGCCTTAAAATCCCCGCAAAGCTTTTGTGTGCTTGACTTTTGCTTTACCTGAAATTCAATGGCAATATTATTGAAACATTTTAAAGCTTTTTTGGAATTTCCTGTGGATGC